CGATTGTAGGGAGCACTTTGCAAAACAACAGTCCCTAAGGGTCCCAGTACCTAATAATCATATACTCACCCAAAACCTGTACTATGATAAATTACTATTACCCAAATCCCAAATACCTAATGATTGGGTACATGGACCCTCTGGTAGTGTGGAGTTCCGCATCCTAGGATGGATTCTGGCCAAGCGTGCTTGCTTCTGTACTGGACGCTGGGCTTCATGCATGCGAGAATAATCAAGCAAGGAAAATTCCAGATTTACACACCGAGACCACATAAATAGAAGCCACATATGCCAGGGCTTTATTTGAGCAGCTCGTACATGAGTCTTCGGTGGAAACTGCGCAGATCCCTGGCCCCTGTCGTAACGCAATGCTTCTGCAGTCGATTTGGAGGCTCGTGCAAGAACATCTTGTTCTTGCAAGGAACAAACAAAACCACGGATACGTGCATTGGGCTCGGTTCATATGGTAATTTCCAGAAATGGAGGACCAGCGGTTTAGAGCCCAAAATATTACAGTCTTGCCAGCTACCCTTAGCCGCCGCGCAGCCGCCAAACAAGTAGTCCCAGTCCCAGTTCTTGGATGAGTTGGAGGATGAGTTGAGCCCTCCTCCATTCCTACCTAAACCCCAACAGTATGTTAAATAATAGGCCTAAACCCATCATAACAGCCTCAAGGGCCATTATTCTACATACTTTTGGGGTCCAGGTAGGGCAAAACGGATGCTGGCCTCCTTGGATGGGGCGCCGTCTCAAAGTTCCAGGACCCTACAAGCATGGAGCACATATCCTGGAGATGAAAATGGTAGCTTCCCTATAGGGTTTAGGGTTGAGGGTTTAGGGGGATCCCACCATGCCATAGTCCTTATTATAGGGCCCCCCCAAAGTGGTACCCCTAATTTTAGGAACCCCCCCCAAGGATGAAAGCCATTGATAGAGCTACTCACCCATAACTCGCACTCTTGCGCGAGGGCTCCAAACTTCGAACAGCCCAATGTAGGTACGATTCATAGGCTTTCGGGCCCGAGGGTAGGTATTAGGGTTTAGAGTTTGGTGCTTACAGTTTAGGGTTGAAGGATTACTCTTCAGAGCCTAAGTTAACAGTTGTAGCTTAGTACCACGATAATCCGTTTTAGGGTTTAGGGTTTTAGGGCTCGTAACTTACACATGCCGCACCGAAACCCTAAACCCTAAACCCTAAACACGGGCCTGCAACTGTTTTCTTTAGCACCCCAAGCTCGAAGTTTATTGTAGGAGTCTGAATCCCTAAGGGTCCAAGTACCCAATAATTAGATCCCGTTAAAGGGGGTATATAGGGATATATGAGGATATATAGGGTTTAGGGTTTAGGGTTTACCCACTAATAATTGGGTACTTGGGTTTTGGGTAATAGTAATTATGGTATAGCTTTTGGGTAAGTATATGATTATTGGGCACTTGAACCCTTAGGGAATGCTGAATGCTTACCAATAGTGGCCGCTTCTATGATGTGTATAGCCAAAATTAGTATAATGTACCACTGACCTCTTCTAAAGTGTTCTTGAGACCATTCCTTCAAATCGCATCTCATTATATCGACCTGGACATCTCAGGAAGGATGTCACTTCCGTGACAGACTCATGCATTCATGTCTCAGCCGAGACTAGGACCCCCATGACATCGCGCCCCCACGCAACTGACTTACCTGAGCCATAGTCTAAACTCCTTAAACGGGGTTAAAAAGGGGATTATATAGGGAACTACTATAGGGGTTATTAAGGGGGATGCCAGGCGTTTAGACTATGGCTCACCTGAAGCCAACTTCAAATTATAGCAGCGACAATTTGAAGAAGGTAAAGCCGCTCTGCAATAGATCATCAACGACCTCTAATGCCGCCGGGTGAACATGAAATTTCACTCGTCTGTCTCACCTTGCCTGGTCCGTCTTTTGTCCACTCACCCCTAACCCTAAACCCTAAGCCCTAAAGCCCTGTCTAAAGCCCTAGCGGCCTAAACCCAAAGTTCCTAAACCTAGTTGTTTAGGCCTATACAGTACAGAAGCCTTCAGCTTAGAGCTCAACCTAAAAACCCCCACAACCCAAACCCTGAACCACAATCCCAAAGCCTCTAGGGTTCAGGGTTACCTAAACCCCAAAAGCATGTACAATAATAGGCGTAAACCCATAATAACAGCCATAAAGGCCATTATTCTACATTTGGGGCCCAGGTAAGGGTTAGGGTGTAAGCTTTTGGAAAGATGTGCGTACAATCAACTCACCTTAGTTGGCAGGTTGTCGTATGGTGTAGGGTGTAGGGCTTAGGGGCATTATTAAAGAAGCCAGAAACTGCATACGTCTGACAGCCGTTATAGACACCGTAACACCAAGCGACAACTGCAAAACTTAAGCCATAATGCAAACCTATAGTTTAGACACCACATTGGAATTCTGGACCCACACCTGAAAACTTAATTCAAAACCAAAGCCACAACATAAAACTCAACCTGTAAACTGAATCGCAAATCTTCCACTCGCTCCTATAAGCCCTAAATGCAACAAGCGCAAGGGTTCCAAAGTGACTGAAGCAGGTATGTCTGGAAAGGCTTTAGGGCCCCAACGAGGTGGCGTAGATAGACCTTGAGGCTCAAAGGGGGCTTTATCTCTAGTCTAGACATAGGTCAGAGTGTAACCTTATTCGAATGATCCAAATCGAAACCCAAGGTGAGTTCCCGAAAGATCTGCCCAAACGTTTGGATAGCCTGCTGCGGTGAACATGGCTCTTTGCAGCTTGTTGCCTATACAGGGCATTGGGGCTCATGTGTTCGGGAATTAGGGTTTGGGGATTTAGGATTTAAGGAGCTTCTCACAGCGTACCCTCTAGAACCCGTACTGGAGGCCCCCATCACCCACCCGTGCTCGTCTGTTCCAAGGATCTCTAAGATTCGTTACATTTGAGGGCACCGAGTTGGAGGAAAAGCAGTGCTGATTCTTATTCGGGATACGAACGACCCTAGAAGGGTCTTTGAACCCTAAGCCATAAACCGGATAACCTTCATCCCCTCTGTAACACTCAGGCGACACAGTTAGCTCCTTAGGTGGAGTTTAGGGTTTATAGAGTCTAGGGCATAGTTTTAGTTTTTCACGGGCTTTTACGCACATTACAGATATTTTTAGATGGGGGATGCTTGGGGTGGGGAGATTTATGGGGTTTTTATGGGTTCCTAGTGATGTAGTATGTTACTTTGATGTAGTATGGACCTCCCATACATGGAGGACACTAGCTTCTGAAATGACAGGTCCATGTTTATTTCGGAGAGTGTAGGGTTAGGGTGATAGTCAGGAGGATTTAGGGCTCTGGGGGTTCCGGACAAGTTGTCCTTCAGTCGGTAGAACCTGTCAGACCCGGGGCACAAACGCGCGTGTCCACTGGTTTTTTCTTGTTGCTGCAGAATCGCTGGCTATAACCTAGCCTAAACCTTAAACCCTAAACCCAAACCTTAAACCCTAAACCCTAAACCCCAAACCCTAAACCCTAAGCCCTAAAGGTCATTGTTCTAAAGCTGGTGCAGTAGTTGTCTCTTTAGGGGATGCGGTCTCCAAAAGTCAGGGTTCAAAGAAGCGATGCAACTTTATTGGCATCCCCCGAAACCAAACGCACACATGACAGCTACTAGCCCCTGAACCCTGATTCTTGCAAAGCTGCCTCTTGAAACTTCCCCAAGGCCCGAAATAGTAGTTTCCCAAAATAGGGGAAGCCCAATCTAGACCGCACAATTCTATAGTCCTTATAACTTATAATAGGGACCCCCAAAATGGTACCCCTACTTTGCGAAACCCCCTAAATCGTAAACTCTACACCAGGCGTACGTTGTCCTCTAGGCGTTCTCACCATGACTCTGACCTGCTTGTCGATGCAGACAGCGCCAGCATTGATCAAATCCAAGAGGCCCACATTTTGTCCACCCCTATGTGCTAGGCCTAAACCCTAAACCCCTAAACCCTAAACCCCTAAACCCTAAACCCTAAACCCCTAAACCCTGAACCCCTAAACCCCTAAACCCTAAACCCTAAACCCCTAAACCCTAAACCCTAGAGATCCAAATAGCCCAAAGTCGAAGCTGTTCAGGAACTCGGGGCCCAAAGTAGTTATTCTTTATGGAGTTGGATCCCCAGGGATAGGGTTTAGGGTTTAGGGTTTAGGATAATAAGAACCGCATTTACTTGAAACCAAACCCTAAGGGTCCAAGGACCCAAATAATAGGGTTTTAGGGCCCAAATACCATACATATTAAGGTATTTGGATCCTAAAGCCTCATTATTTGGGTCCTTGGATCCCCAGGGATAATAAGACTCCTATGACTAACGTAAGACTCCTCAAGGGGTCGTTATCATAGGTTGTTTTGGTAACCGAACTGGGATCAACTCTCTCTAGTACGCTCCAGATGTCACCCCAAAGCACATGCAAGAGGCCATCGACAAGCTCCGCGGAAAAGGCCACGTGGTTCGAACTACAGTTTTTGCAGACCCTGGCCGTGCTAGGAACAAGGCCTGGGCATCTTTATTTCAGAGCGACAACCTGCGCTTTCAATCCGTGAAGCGGAATCCCGGCCACATCGGGGAAGCCAACGATGAAGCTATTGCGAGCATGTGCCGGCGTTTAGTACGATCCCGCCAAACGACATGCATCGCAGTGCTGACTTCAGATGGAGGTTTTTTGGATGTCCTGAAGCAAGCCAAAGAAAGCGGGATGAAAGTTTTCTTGTGCACATCAGCTAGAAATTTGACGGCAGTGAGGGAAGCTTCTTGTTTTCCCAAATTTGGTCGCATAGGAAGGTTTCTGTAATTATGTGCCGCCTGTATGTAGTGAGCCTTACAGGGCATTTGTGTGAGCACTGCTCCTAGTACCCAGGAAGTCCAACATCCCCTAATTACGGAGTAGACCTGAAGTCATATCAGAGATCCCAAAAACAATTCAAGGAATATTCCCTAATTAAGGGATATTGGACTTCCTGGGTACCAAACAAGGAAATCTGGCATTGGCTGATAGCTGTCGAGGTGCCCATGTGCCGGTCGTGGAGCTGATTCTCTGCTAAGGGGGGGGGGTTTAAGGTTTAGGGCTTTGGGAAGAACCTTCAAAATGCGACCTTTAAGGTGACGAGTTCTTCCCTTCGAGCTGGCCATGTAATGGCCAGATTATTACCAGTTCTTAATACAGGAGTCGTATAGTGTACATTATGGGCAGGGTTTCTCATTGCAGGAGCTTTTAAGGATCAGTATTCGTGTGTTCCGGTTACATGAAGTATAGACCATACCATAAACAGCCAACCGTAGACTCCTGCAATCCACCGAATTCCTTGACAAGCCGTTGCTGTTATACTATGCTACTTCTTTCTGTGGAGTCATGCCCAGGAAGTCCAATGTCCCTTTATTAGGAGATACACCTTAAATAGTACTCAGCATCCCTACTATGATGCAAGGTATTTTCCCAAATTAAGGCATATTGGACTTTCTGTGTGCTTAGGTGGGCATGTTTGGAACAACCCCTGCGCAGTGCTTCATTGGGACCCTCGTAGTCCTGTGGCACCCGAAAATCGCCCCCCACTCAGAAGCCCTCATCTCAAACTGGCTACGCAACCCTAAACCTAAGTCCAGAATGACCTCAGCAATTGAAATCCTTCCTTGCAGTACCACACAGTATTTGGGCCGCGGCCGCAACCACTTGACGATTTCGTCCGTTCAGACACGTCCGCGAATCAAAACGCTTGAAACAAAAGGACGCGACAGAGGTTTGTAAGAACCGGGGGGCGGGGGGGGGAGGGGCAAAGGGGAGGGATGTCGACCCAACAGACTCACACAGCACTGTCTGAAGGTGGGTGACGTGCAAGCTATCTAAGGACAAGCCGCACCAGTAACTTCAGCAAAGTCAGAGCAGTTCTGCGCGCCAATGGAACTGGCTATGTCAAGCTCGCGGAGGCATTCAAGTATAACAGGTCTGAAAACCTCGAGCTGTGCACCAACTTTTTGCACGACTTGGGCTACTCGGAATTTTGGTGGGCACCGCTTGGCGTTTCGGCTATGTCTATGAGGCTATTGTAAAGCCATCTGTGCATATCAACCGCTGTGAGAAGTAAGGTTACCACTCTATGGATCAGGCAGACTTTCTGGGGCACGGCACAGCCAAGTTTTGGTTTGCCAATTCCTTGGGACCGCTGACAGTGTTTCCGCAGCAATGTGCCACAAACGCTGTGCGCCGTTTGGCTTCGATCCGGAAAAGCTGGAAGAGGTATAGGGACGACTTGGTGTTTTGCTTTCCAATATCTTCTGGTGCCACATTGACTCAGAAGCAGAGAGGAGTCTATGGAACGACACTTGCCAGACGCTGAGCGGTATTGTTCTGGAGAATGTTCTGTTTCATAGCCCTTGTTTTGGTAATGTGCAAAGTACATTTTCGGGTTGTACTTGGGACTGGATGGCAATGTTAGATGGAGGCCATCCTCAAAGTGAGCTTATGATTGCTTCTGGCAGAACATAACAGTCCAGGACAATTGTATCGAGGTGGTGGGCCAATGATGCTCAAAGACTCGAAGCTGCTGGTCCGGCGAATGCTCAGCAAGTTGGGATATTTAGACAACGGCTTGAACGCGGACTTGGGGGAAGCAGCATTCCTCTTTGCGACTCGACTGCGTGCGCACCGCTTTGCATGTACTTTGCCTCTAGTGACATCGGACGTAATAACTATTGTAACGTTACCTGTAACTTGCATACGACCCTACTTTGGATGGACATAAGCTGGGCCTTATGAGTAGGGCTAAGGGCCCCCAATGGGATTTGAATGTTTAAGCGCACTTATGAGTCTCTTAAAGGGCTGTATATAGGGAATCTAACTGTCAGATCCTTCCCAAAATTATTGGGTTGTACGAGAGGTGAATGCTCCGGAAAACCAGTACGTGCTTCGCAAGCAGCTGAATCTTCTGCCCACAGAAGGAGACACCCTGGAACACGTGCAAAGCAAATTGCGAAGTGCCTTCCGATCACATTTGTCCAACGCCCGCTGGAGAGTGTCACCCCGTGACGCACAAGTCAGGGAACTGCTCCACCGGGAGGGGTTCTTGGATAGCGTTGCCTATCTATTCAGGAAGACGGCTTTGTTGTTCGCATTGTCCTTCTTTCTTTGGGATAAGGCGGGGAACTTTATCGCTTTCCCTAAAGGTCCAAGGACCCAAATCATGGGGTTTAAGGGCCCAAATACCATCAATATTACAGTATTAACCCTTAGGATCCCTTAGGGTTTGCCTTTGTTGGAGAACGGAGGTTCATGAGCACGCTGAGCAGGTCTTGGAAGCAATGTCAAGGTATGCTCGTCGGAAAGGCCTGCCTTCCATGAAGCTGGGACAGTTTGAGGGGGTTCTCAAAGTCAGTAGGGCTTAGGGTGGGGGGCCAGATTTTGAGAAACTGCCATTTGAGCTCAACTTCAATGAATGTCGGGTTCCAGCATCGACAAAGCATTTGAACGACAATGAGCGCAACGCAGGGTTTCTTCGATCCTAAGTCTACAAGTATAGGTGTCTCGCAGAAGAGAGATAATCTTGAAGATTCCAGGATTTCATGGTGTTTATCGAGAGATCGTCTTGTTCTACCTGTAACATACTTTCCAGAGAGTACCACATTCAGTGCTGACTTTCTGCACTGCCTGGAGACCCAGCGAAACTAGGAAGACCTACAACGGATATGTCTTCCGCATACTGCGAGCTGGCGATTCACCAGCAAACAACACAGGTATCATCGATTTCAGCCATGCAGCGTTTGCAACCCAATGAGAGCTTCAGAAAAAGGTGATTTTGCCTGTTCGGACCTTCCATAAGAAATAGCACGATAGTCCTGCTTCTGGCTTTTGTGGATTTGATGCCAATTACGCGACGCAGGCACCAGAAAGCAAATAGCTGGCCAGATTTGTTTAGGCCTCTTACCCCTCCTTTTCTTCACATTACTATTACCTGAATTGCAATTGTCATTTACATTGTTTCTGCTACTAAACCCTGAACCCTAAACCCTGAGGTGCTATCATGAACATTCTTTTGTCGGATGATCGTGCATCATGTTGGACACCACAGTAGGCACAGTCATCGGCTTAGGGTTCAGGGTTTAGGGAGCTACTAACACGAGGCCTACAGAATTCAGAGGTCGGGACTGGTTTTGCTCCGGTTATTGCCAGAAGTTCCCGGGGCCCAGAAGCTCAGTGGTGCCTAGTAGGGAATCAGTTTTTTGTTCATTCATGAAATATGTGCTCCCCCTTAAGTAGATAGAATATGGCTTTGGGTAGATTATGATAAGAGCCCCATATACCCCATATTCTATCTACTTAAGGAGGACTATAGGCATCAAGGGCGTATGTCGGTGTGTTGGCTTCCAGAC